CGCACGCACGCACGCACGCACGCACACACACACACACGCGCACGCACGCACGCAACACACACACACACACACACACACACACACACACGCACACACACACGCACGCGAGCATGCACGGAGACACTCACCTACACACGCACAATCACGCACGCACAGACAGACAATGACAGCAGCAGCAGCAGCAGACCAATAGCAACAACAACAACAACAACAACAACAACAACAACAACAACAACAACAACAACAACAACAACAACAACAACAACAACAACAACAACAACAACACCAACAACAACAACAGCAGCAGCAGTAACAGCAGTGGCAACAGCAACAGTAACAACAGCAACAGTAGCAACAACACCAGCAGAAGCAGCGGCAGCAGCAGACGAGTAATAAAGCCGGGCCTTCAGCCGGGCGAAGTGACCTCCAAGGAGCCGGTTACGTCATGCGCCTCTCGAACTAGTCGCGAGTGCACTAACCGCGGCCGCACCAACAATAGCAGCAAGCAGACGCGAGTTCAGCCAACACGTACGTCTGCTGACGGGGTAACTCGCGCGCGCCGTCACACGCTATAAGTGACTGTGTTACTTACTACTCGTGGTAGCGCCATTTCCCGTACGCATATTCGCACGCGAGGTGGCGCTGTCACTCGCACGTCCGGTGGCGGTGTTACTCTTACGTACGCCTAGCCGGCCGTTATCGGCGGCAGGAGCGAGGGTTGGGGCGAGTAAGGAGGATGGAGCGAGTAGCAAGGATGGAGCGAGTAGCAAGGATGGAGCGAGTAGGGAGGATGGAGCGAGTAGGGAGGATGGAGCGAGTAGCAAGGATGGAGCGAGTAGGGAGGATCTCCATCCTCCCTACTCGCTCCCTACTCGCTCCATCCTCCCTACTCGCTCCACAAGGATGGAGCGAGTCGCAAGGATGTACGCACGCACGCACGCACGCGTACCTGGTGCCGTCGAGTGAGCTGCAGTTGGGGTCGGCGCCGTGCATGAGCAGGCAGCGAGCGATGAGCAGGTTTCCGCGCATGCAGGCCTCGTGCAGCGGCGTGTAGCCGGCGTTGTCGCGAACGTTGGGATCAATCGCCTTGCTCTCCAGACAGTACATGGCGACGTCCTGAATAAAACAGAGCGGAAACGTGTGAGCATAAACAGGCAACATGCAAACGATATATACGCGTATAAATAGGCAGTATACACACGTAGTGATATACAATAATATTGTATATTGTACAATATAGAAATATTGTACAATTTTATATTTTTTAATTTTATTATAAAAACACAGGCAAACAATGTCATTGTATAGCTAGATAGACAGCATATATGCATATATAAACAATATACATCTAGATATAAGCAGTATATATGTAAGGATTGCCCGTATACGTGTATAGATAGATACAAAGTATGCATGAATGGATAGATAACATGGAGACAGGGCGACGCTATATATACATATCTATATCGATCTATCTCTCTCTCTATATATATAATACGCTGCTTAACGCTGGTTTTCGTGGAAACCGTGCCGAGTCAGCGAGTAGCAGCAGCAGCAGTAGTAGCAGCAGTAGCAGCAGCAGCAGCAGCAGCAGCAGCTGCAGCAGCAGCAGCAACAGTAGCAGCAGCAGTAGCAGCAGCAGGAGCAGAAGCAGCAGCAGCAGCAGCAGTAGTAGCAGCAGCAACAGCAGCAGCAGCAGTAGCAGCAGCAGGAACAGAAGCAGCAGCAGCAGTAGTAGCAGCAGCAGCAGCAGCAACAGCAATAGTAGTAGTAGCAGCAGCGGCAGCAGCAGTAGCATCAGCAGCAACAGCAGCAGCAGCAGTAGCAGCAGCAGGAACAGAAGCAGCAGCAGCAGTAGTAGCAGCAGCAGCA